AAAGACCCGTACTAATGGTTTCCTGGGAGACTAAGCCCACAGTGGAAAACAAAGGCCCACGAAGATTCCATCCACAGTAACGTGCTCAGAGGGCTATCAGCAGCTCGCAGTGTCCATTCTGTGCTTTCCAAGCGTTGGTCCGAGACACTTAATACATCAAGTCACCACCTGACTTGTAGAAGGCTACGTAGCTGCCTGTGGCTGGCAGCCCCAGCCCCATTCCCCTAGATGATGGGGGAGAAAACGTGTTTTGTTTGTAGTATAAAGGCTTATATGTAAAGGCTGTACTTTTTTAATTCTACTTTTGCCTAAGCCCTGTATTTACAAGTCTTCCACAAAATGAGCTTGCTTGAATTGGAGTTATATTCTTTGTCTGTGTCTCCCTCTCACCCTCCCTCCCCTTGCCCCTGGCAGATAAGTGGAAATTTCCACTGAAGCGCTCAGTGGCTCCCAGTGGGTGGGGGAGTGGGTGGGAGGGCTCTGCAGCCCTGAAGCATCTTGGAACCTTCTTGAAGATAGGAAACAGATCTGTTTGGATGCCATTTCCTAGACTGTCTTGGTTAAATGTTTCTGGATTCAAGCGTCACACAGGCAGTGAATTATTTACCTTAAAACCCAGGTATCTCTGCACAAAAAAGGCCCATTTCTTTTTTATAGCTGTGCATCTCATACATTTTAAAAACCAATAATCCTGAGGGAGAATCCTTACAAACCTTGGAGCACTGCCACTTAAAAGAAACCTCCAAGGACACTGCAGCCCTGCCTTGAAACAGGCCGTAGGGCACCTTCACAACAAGAATGGGGTCAGGACGCTGTCCCTGACTTAATGCTGGCAGGGAAGCATGAGAACATGGGAATGTTAGCTGATGGGAAAACTACAGAGGAGAATCAATCTCCTCTGGAGACCGTGCCAGTGCTCTTGGAGTAAGCTGCACACGCATTTGGGGAGCAAGTCAGTAAAATTCCACTGATTCACCATAGAGCCAGTTATTTTTATCCTTCTGCTTACCCGTAAATAGAAGGTATCTTGTATGTAGGCCAGCAGCACTTTGTTATAAGCATCTATATCCAAACTTTCAAGTAGACAAAAACAGAAGGGCGAGTCCTCAGAGTTCTTACAGATGTCCACACTAGCCCCACCTCCCAACCCGACAGAAGCCACCTGAGGCATCAGTGTACAAGGGGCCAGGCCCACACCAAGTGGTAACAGATCTGTGTTTCTAGTACTCTCCACCCAGCCCCACCTAGTGGAAAGAGTCTCCAAGAGTGTGCAGGCCCAGAGTGCTAGAAAGACTGAGGCTAGGACTCAGGAGGACTCAATAAGAGACCTGCCTCCTTTTAGCAGAGGTCTAAAGGAGCACCTACTCCCACTGTTACCTCCTGACTATTTTTATGACCTCCTCTCCTTTCAGACAGCCAGGAAGACAGAAAGAACTTTCCACATTACTTGTCTTTCCCAAGTTAAGAACATCAAGTTGAGCCTGTGAAGGCACAGAGGAAAAGACACTCAAGAAGTATGGAAGAGACTAAAGCAAACCCAGAGCTGGGAGAGGGAGGGGAAGGAAGGGGGAAGTAGTTCTCAGGCCCTCCAAGCCCCAGGTTACTCTTCAACAGATTCAGGCACTGCCTGACTACAACAGGATGGCCAGGATGGCCACAAGTCTCCATCTGGAAAGATGATCCAGGAAACCCCAAGTCCCAGCTGCCACCCAAGGTGACCAACCTGTGGAGGTCTAGCGTCAGCTCTCTCTGCTCCCTACTTCCTATTTCTTGGGTAGGCAATGCTTGAGGTGTGATTGCCCTCAGGAAAATACGTGTAAATATTAGTTATGGAGACTGAGACCCTGTCCCCATCGCTAAGGGTGGCTGAATCCCAGGCCTCTTTCTGCTGCCAGGTGGAACACAGAATAGCATTTTTAAAAACAAGTTTAAAATGGTCCACAGCTGTACATACATGGCCTAGCCAATTCTATTGGCCCCTGGAGATTATGCATTAAGTAAACTTCTGTGGATTAGAAAACAAGTTCCCAGTTATAAACATGCTCTCACAGTCAAATTTCTGGAACAGAATCTGTTACTAAAGAGGGGACTAACCAAACTAACATCTGGAATGACTACATTTTTATTTTTGGTGTAACCTGGTAATGGACCTCACATATTAATAAATATGTCAAGCAGGTTGTACTGCCAACGTACACCCTCTTCCTCCAGGAAGACTTCCCAGCCATCACTGAAGCAGCAGCACCTCTCTACTTAAGCACTTTTCCACCCACTTTTCTCAACCTACTAGGCTTGGGCATAGCCAGGGATCGACATGGGAAGAGGTGAGATGGGAGAACAGCATCAGGAATCCAGTCTGCTGAGAAGTGTGGCAGAGAGCCTGGTGGTCAGCCCTGCACCTGACACCACTCCTGCTGCACAGGGACTGTCACCACATACCTTCTTCCTGGTGCCATGGGTCAGGTATGTTCAATATGTGACAAGTCCACTGTGTTTCTTCTTAACCATTTTTAAAAAGTATACCTTCCTGGCACCCAGTATATCCTGGCAATATTATCCAATTATCGATATGTTTGGAACACACACACACACACACACACACACACACACAAAGCTTAGTTATACATAGTGCTTACGAAAAATCTGCCAAATAAAGAAAATGCTGTTCTATAAACAGAGCTGGTATTACTGACTCTGGAGGAACTAGCTGAAAACAAGAGACTGCCCGCCAGCCTCAAGCACCTCAAGGCAAACACTGGATGTATTCACACAATTCCAAATCTTCATTCAGGCAACTCCCGATACATGAGCCCTCCCTATGTGCTCATTTACCAAAAAACACTGTGGAGAATAGCCATAGGCATTACCAAAATAAAAAGCAACATGATCAAATAAAGCCAATGAAGGGTCTATGCCAACATGAATCGCTTTGAGGGCTTAGCATCAGCAAGGCTTCCCCCCCCCCCCGACTGACAACACACTGGTATTGCTGCTATTTTTTTGTTTGTTTGTTTGTTTCTCTTGGAATACCTCTGAAAACTAGTGTCTCAGAGACTACATTCTAAGGGGAAAAAAAACTGTACCTTAAACAAATGAACATCAGACAATAAAAATGTAAAACCTGAACCCTCAACTGCAGGGGCAGCCCCCTTCTGTTGGTACACAACATATAAAGGAAACACACGAGAAGAACCTTGTCCCTGGCTGCTAGACGTCTGACATAAAATGTTAAGTGGCAATGAGCTGCTTGCTATGCATAGCCATTGGTGAGGCTTAGGAACCTGAGCGAGACCCAGTTTCTGCTGCTTACAGTTCTAGGAGGTCTCTTCCAGGACCCCAACTTATTCCACCCATAAAAAGAAACATCATGAGCTGGGAAAGTGGCTAGTGGGGCAGTGCTTGACTTGTATGCATGAGGCCCTGGGTTCAATTCCTCAGCACCACATAAGCAGAAAAAGCCGGAAGTGGTGCTGTGGCTCAAGTGGTAGAGTTTGAGCTGAAGAGCTGAGGGACAGCGCCCAGGCCCAGAGTTCAGGCCCCACGACTGGACCCAAAAAAAAAAAGGAAGAAAGAAAGATCATCACTTTGGCCCGCTCCCCACATGGCACAGTGGACTGAGCCAAGCAAGCTTGTACAGTGGTCCTCAAAGGCAAGTCTGTTCTCAGCTATCCTCAGCCACGCAGCAGCAGTGGCAGCAACAGCAACAGCACCCAGGTACTTGGTAGAAACAAACAGTTCATGATGCTAGTCACAGGCAAGGGGCCAGAGGAAACCAACTAGACACCAACTGGGATGAAGAAACTGACTCCTTTCTCTGTTCAGTGCTTCCCACCAAGAACAGCCAGTAATTCCTAATGCCTTTAAACAAGAAAGACAAAAATGCTGTTAAAACCATACCTTTTTGCGGGCTTTTTTTTTAAAGAAAGAAAAAAGAATACACCCTCCCCAACACAATCTTCATTCTTCATTGTCGTCATGATTGTGGAAGAAGCCCAGCCACTGTGCATTTCCTGTTGCCTAGCAACCCTCAGGCACTCTCTTAGAGGTGTTCTTAAGCTCAACAGTAGCACAGAACAAGGTAGGGAAATAACAAGAGGTCTGCAGTCAGCTGCCACATCCCAGCAGCAGTAAGAAATTCAAGAAAGCCTGCATCCGTGTGCACACCAAAAGGCACGCAGGACTAAAGCAGCATTCTGTTGCCAGAGCACAGTGAAAGAGAGTCCCTCACTTGGTCTCAATGACTATGGTCAGTGCTGCAGAAGCTAAACGACCTGTCCAGGGCCACAGGCAGATGCTGGAGAGAAGAGTGGAGCTTTTGTCGACCACGCATCAGTTGGAGTAGGCAGTTTCACTTGCGCATTAGGCTCTGGAGATGTACATTAGTAGAAACACATTTTGCTATTCTGTATCATATTTTGCAGAGAAATGTGGATGGACAACACAGTGTTCACTGAAGTGTTTTGCAGACAGATGTTAAAAGAAATGTCAGGAGAAAAGAGTGAGGCTGAGAACAGCTTCTTACAAGCAAGTGCTTGTTTACATGTTGCTCCTCACATGGTCTGCTTTTGTTTTGTTCTGATTACGATCCAAGTAAAGGCTAGCATGACTGCATCTTTTTTTTCTCCCTTCTTCTGTGTCAGTACGGGGCTTGAACTCAGGGCCTGGGTACTGTCCCTTAGCTTTTTTTTTTTTTTTTGCAATACCACCTTAGCCACACCACCACTTCCAGCTTTATGGTGGTTAGTTGGAGATAAAGAGGTTTTTCTGCTTGGCCTGACTTCAGATCCTCGCATCTCAGCCTCTAAGCAGCTAGGATATTACAGGCTCTCAGCTAGAACTGTCTTATTTGCAACACAACACTACGTCAGCATGCACTTGGACAACAAAGCATCAGAGGAATGTGACTATAGAAACAGGACAAGTTCTAAATTGATCAGTATTCTTTACTGAGTCCATTGAAGACACTTTTCCCCCAGCACTGACATCGTGAAGAAACTTACCCGCCTCTCTTGTGCTGCTGACTATGGGCAGACATCTTGAAAGGAAGTGCTTTCTCACCCAGGTTTTCCAAGTTCCTCACAATGGCTCCTCGGTCCAGCAGGGCTTCTACTGTACGTTTCAAAGCCGCAGCAGACTCTGGCTGTTTTTTGTTTTCATTTTTAAAGAGAAGAAAGAAAGCCATCAGAATCAATGTGACAACTACAGTAATTCGGTCCAGTTAATTCTAATCATAACAGCACTACTACTGGTAGGGATTTTAAAAGTTTTTATTATTGGATAAAAGCAATAGAAACTGGTTTCGGCTAACTTAAATAAAATAACAAGAAGGAAGAAAAAGCTGCTGGAGAATCAGGCTTTGGAGAATTCAGAGGTCAGAGTGGATCCTGGGACCTGCCAGGCAGGAACTAATGAATGACTTCTTCAGAGCATCTCAGCCAGGCTGTCAGTCCCAACCAGACAGTCTTGTATCTTATGACTCAAAATTCCAATTCCCAAACACTGTCCTGTTGGCAGGACATTTTTAATGACCATTTGATCAAACCACAGCATCAGTTAGAAAAGAAGTTGTTCCCCCCCCAAAAAAATTGGGAGATTATAACCTAGGAGTAAGAATAAGTAAACCCAGTCTCTACCCTCACCAAGTTTACAATCCTCTAATGGACTTCATACAAACACATGATTAGACAAGCAGAGGACAAAACAAGTATGGCCCGGGGATCTGGTTCAGGGAAGGAAGAAGGACATTCAGATGGGAGCATTAAGGAAAGCTTGTTATATGCAGGAGCCCCCCAAAAAACAAAGACTGGAAACTGGCAAACCAATGAACCAGGTTCCGGGTGAAGGAGCAAAGGCACGTCTGAACGCACGAGCAAGAGCTGGGTGGCACGGAGGACACAACCAGGACAAGAAGCATCAAGGAGATAGGCCAAGCCAAAGCTCACCACAAAGACAATATAAAATTCTACCATCTTCAGATTTTTTTTTAAGGCTCTAAATGTTTAGGAATTTCCTTTTGGGTATTTCTTTGTGCCTATTATACAAAAAGTAAATGCTGGAAAAAAAGATACTTAACAGAGTAAATCTTAAAATATGTACCAATGAGGGCAAGATGAGGTAAAACATGGCATCTAAACATGGTGGCTGGCTGGTGGCTGCCATCAGGAACTGAAGGAAATCTGGACATGTTTGTTAAAGGCAACATAGGATGAACTGGGTTTAGAACACACTGAGTCTGAGATGCCAACACCCCCCTTAAGTTGACATGTGTCAAGCTTTGTAGTCACTGGCATGGAAGCTTTAGGAAGCCCAAGGAGATGGGTTGACAAAGAGGACTAGCAGTCAAAAAACAAAAATTTAAAGTATGTAGTAAACAGGACAAGGAACTTTGTCATGAAAACCTAAGAGACAGCCCTAGAATGCTGGGTTGAGATTAGATATAGAGAAAGGACCACAACGGATAACTGGCTGCACAATATTTAACAAGATGGGGCTCATACCAGTTAGCTAAAGGTTGACCAAGGTGTGTAGGCAGAGAAGGAGCTGAGGGCAAACAAGTCTAAAAGAAGTGTTTATGGACATAAAACACATGAGCAATGGGCTGGGAAGGTGGCTCAGTGGTAGAGCGCTTGCCTTGCATGCCTGAGGCCCTGAGTTCGATTCCTCAGCACCACATAAGCAAAAAGAAAAAAGCCAAAAGTGGCGCTGTGGCTCAAGTGGTAGAGCGCTAGCCTTGAGCTGAAGAGCTGAGGGACAGCGCCCAGGCCCAGAGTTCAGGCTCCATGACCGGACCCAAAAAAAAAAAAAAAAACACATGAGCAAGACAGGAGTTAAAGAAGAACAGACTAATCAAGAAGTATTTTAAAAAGGATTTTAAAAAGCAATGATGACAATGACAATTTAATGCCTGACTTCCATAGACCTAAGATTGGTTACATACTTCATCAGAAACAAGTGAGAAGGTATACAGATGTGGAATTAGGGTCTGACATACGCCATGATAAGGTCTCTGGTAAGCAGAAGAGCCCTCTGCAGAAAAGAGGAGGCCCAGGAGGCATAGAGGGGAGGCTGGAGACAAGGCACACTTATCCTGGAGGGGCACAGCAGCGACTGCACTGAAGTGCAGAGAGAACTGAAGAAAGCAATGTTCCCCGGGCTTATCTTGTCAAATGAGAGACAGACAAATGCAGAACAAATTTGAAGTGTTCATTATGGAAAGCAAACAATATTTGCAATTTTTTTCTGACAAGTATTACTGAAATGTCAGAAATGTACTAACTGTGCTTCAAGCTGAGAAAAAAAAATTTTTTTTTTTGGGTCCGGTCGTGGGACCTGAACTTTGGGCCTGGGTGCTGTCCCTCAGCTCTTCAGCTCAAGGCTAGCGCTCTACCACTTGAGCCACAGCGCCACTTCCGGCTTTTTTCTTTTTGCTTATGTGGTACTGAGGAATCGAACCCAGGGCCTCATGCATGCAAGGCAAGGCTCTACCACTGAGCCACCTTCCCAGCCCAAGCTGAGAAAAATTTTACTTTCATAAAAAAAATACTGAAATGTTGTATTTATTGACCTAATTAGCCAACCCTCTAATAAGATAGGCTTTTCCTGCAAACAATAAAATCAGGGTCAAATATCTTATTCAGACTAAGTAAAAGGAGCTATGGTTAAGTAACTTCTTACGATAGTATCAGACATAGACAGTTCTAAGCCCATGAAGACTAAGTTCTTGTTACATTTCGTAACTGCAGAAAGACATTTCCACATGTCTGCAGAAACCTCATTATGAACAGCCTGATGATGCTTCATTTCATTAAAGATGCTGTTTCTTGAGCAGGCACCGCATCAATTAACCTATAACACGGTGAATAAATAGACTATCCAAATAAAGAATGAGTAAGGTTTCAAAAAATAAGTAACTTTGATTACTAACCAATAATGATTAATTACCTAAATCATGAACTTTAATTTCAGTTTTGCTTGATTAAAGAGGAATATATCTCAATGAGTTGTTGAAATTCTAATTGAAATGCTTACAGTATGAAACAGGGGGTGCCCTCTCCTGATGTAAGAGTTTGAGAAATAATAGAAAACTTTCTTCGTAGATGTGGTGGTTCACATCTACTCAGGTGGCTCTTGGAAGAACCTATTCAGGAAAACTAAGAGTCATAGTTTGAAACCAGCCTGGGCAGAAAAGCCATGAGATGCTTAGCTCCAATTAACCAGCAAAAATACTGCACTGGAGACATGGCTCAAGTGGTAGAGCATGAGCAGAAAAAGCTAGTCAAGAACACAGGCACTGAGTTCAAAGCCCAGTAAACCAGTACACACACACACACACACACACACACACACACACACACACACACACACACACACGGGCAGGGCTACCTAACAAGAATGTAACTTAGGAAAATATCAAACATTTTGTTTGACTTTGGTATGTTAAGAATAAGTTTGAGACTGCTTAAATGGTCAATTCAAATTACTCAAAAGTTTTGAAGAGGGCTGGGAATGTGGCTTAGTGGTAGAGTGCTTGTCTAGCATTCATGAAGCCCTGAGTTCGATTCCTCAGTACCTCATAAATAGAAAAAGCTGAAAGTGGCATTGTGGCTCAAGTGATAGAGAATGCTAGCCTTGAGCAAAAGAAGCTCCAAGACAGTGCCCATGCCCTGAGTTCAAACCTCAGGTCTGGCCAAAAAAAAAAAAAAAAGTTTTGAAGAAAGACTGAGGGGAGCTGTTTTTAATAATGTTACTCAGAATGTTTTATTACCAGATGATGACTGAGAAGCTAGTAAAAAAAAAATGGTGCCAGGTTTAAAAGAAAAAAAAGACTGAGGGAAGAGCAAAGCCATCTCTAGCATACTAGGGTTGTCCAGTAGATCTCATATTCTTTACCTCACAATAAGGTGGGACCAGCTAACCAGGGCCTATGAACCACATGCAGCAGGGCTGACTTTGCAAATAACGTTTTACTAGAACAGTCAACTCATACATGTGCACGTTTGTGCTTAAAGACAGGTACATAATTGCTATAAAGATCATAAAGCCCCAAAGCTTACGCTATTTACTATTTACTTCACTACTGTGGAAGATTGTGGAAGCTGGTAGGGCCTCGACCTGCTCATCCTAAAATGCCAAGTAAAACCATGAGTCTGAAGTATAGGCAGTGAATTCTTCATAGGATGGTCATCAGAGAGAATACACAGGGCACCATTAGATGACTACTACTACTACTACCTAAAACTCACCAAAGGTCTCAGAACTAATTCTACAAAAAACTCACCCATCCCCCTAAATCTATTCAAGCCAAGAAGCCAATTTCCTTGTTTGTTGAGACCCATAAATCCATAAAAGTAAAATTGTTTGGTGAAGGGGGTGGTAAGTTCTGTTTAATAACCACAATGTTCAACTTCTATAAAGCCTATAGTTACAGAAAGGAAATGATCCTCCTAGAGCTTTCATTTTCAATGAATTTTTTTTTTTTTTGGGTCCGGTCGTGGGGCCTGAACTCTGGGCCTGGGTGCTGTCCCTCAGCTCTTCAGCTCAAGGCTAGTGCTCTACCACTTGAGCCACAGCGCCACTCCCGGTTTTTTCTTTTTGCTTATGTGGTGCTGAGAATCGAACCCAGGGCCTCAGGCATGCAAGGCAAGCGCTCTACCACTGAGCCACCTTCCCAGCCCACTCAATGAAATTTTTGTATAATTCTCATTTTAATGAAATTTTCATTGAAAGCTTATTCTCAATCTCTGAACCATTTAATAAGAATTTTCTAAGGAGAAATTGTACATACTTCTTACAGGCTTCTTCCACCCACTTGGTAATAGCCTCCAAGGCAAACTGACCACATATGTCAATGGAACAATTTTGGAAAGCACATGGTGGTGGGGGCTGAAGATGAAAGACACAAGCAATGAATGAAGTAGGAAATAGGTCTAGTAATAAATAGTTCATTCCCTAATGAGGTCTACAATCCTGAGTAAACTGCTGAAACATATGGAAGATTCCTCTTCTGCTATCCTGCTAAGGTCAGTGTTCTCCACTCTTCTGTTTCTACAAGTTTCACATGAACGTTCATGTTGCATATACATTGTGACAAAAGTCTACTTTTTTTCACACTCCACTTTCTTGCTGAACCCTTGATGATGT